ACCCTATATCTAGTAAGAACTAGAACATTCGCCAAAGTACATGATAGTTCTAGAAACGTTGCGTCACAGTAGTCATGTGACTCGATGACGCAACAGTATCATTAAGATGTTTAGATATACAGTTTACGTTAAAGCTTGCTTCTCTTTATGAACAAACTAGTGAGCGTTTACTGAACTAAAATTTTATTGACTGATGTTTCATTACCTTCAAAATATAGTGTATCCCTCCGTCACAAGAATAAGCTCGAAACTAGATAGAACGCCATCTCTATTTAGCATTAGTAATCTTGAGGACAATAAAATGCGATGTTTTTTTAAGCCTAATTTTAGGCCTAATCTATGAATAATACACATGAAAGTGTATGATTTTACATAATAATTTTTCTTTCTTCTCGCAAACTTCTTGTATACACATCATTTTGACTCGTTTAAGGATTTTTCTTTTGAATATTTTTACCTCGTTAATAAATATTTCTTCGTGTAGTTTTAATGTTTTGAAACACTAATTACGCCATCAAATCAACCATCTTTTTTTTAACAATGTCTCGGCAAAATTACGCGTTTTTGTTGTCGACATTTTGAGCAGATCACAAATTACATTAAATGCTAAAATGTATTAAGTTTATAATACATTTCTGTTTAGCGTAAATTATGCGCGTATTAAGTATTAAATTAGTATTTCTCTATTGATGGTTAGAGTAACAGAATACAAACACGATAACACCCAAATCCTACAAGAAAAATATTTCTCAGCCCTTGTTTCGTGATCACCGACAGGGCCAAAACAATGTTCCTTAAAACATGAGCCTATTCAAACGCTGGGATGAAGTACGTCAATAACAGAGGTCACTAGTCAGGGAATTAGGCTTAGAGCAATACTTAATGTCTCGAGTTTTCCGGGATCAGGCGCCGAATGATTTTGTCGCTATTTATGAGTAGAGCGTGCACCTAATGTGATATCATTTAGTTAAAGTCTGCTTTTAAAGCACGCTAAAATTAGAGAGTTATGAAGAATAAAAATTGTTTGAAAACGGAACTGGAGCGTCACCGAGTATCGAGCACTCAGGCGTTTAGATACCTAGAATTAGTGAACCCTAGGTGCGAGAGTACGTGCTCTGCCTTTTGATACGGCACTGCGCTCAAACCAAAA